GTGAGATGTGTGAATTTATTCAGGATTAGCCAAATACAGTAAGGTCCGTGTGTATTATGTTTCTTTTGGAAAGAAGTGTACATATCAGGTTACTATTTTTGTGAGTATCTACAATGCATATTTATCTACATGAGTCTAACTAAACGGTCCCAGCTGTCCCCCTGAAAAATCTCAAATGGATCTGGTTTTATTTTTGGAAAGGATGCTACTGTCTTTTGCTGCTATTTTTGAACCCTGAGCAGATCGGAAAAGTGGAACAAAGTTTTATGGAAATTCTTATGAATGATGATGTGTTTTTTTTTTAATTATGGGATTGTCCTACTCCTCTTTTTATAACATATTCTCAGCCAAATGACAGGTTAGGTTCCTATGATTAATAGATTTTGCTCAAAACAGACACTACACGAAGAAATGTTGAGCAATCTAAACAAGTAACAGTTATAACAAATTTAACATATAATTGACACAGGTGGGACACCTATTCATTAGCAATAAGGCTACAAAGGCTACAAAGCAGGGGAAATGATCCTGAAAGGAAACCAGCATGGGTTTGTCACAGGTAGATCCTGCCTAATAAACCTTATAGCTTTTTATGACCAGGTCACACACTGCCTTGACACAGGAGCAGAGGCTGATGTCATCTACCTGGATTTTAGGAAGTCCTTTGACACAGTTTCGCATCCTATTCTCATAGGGAAGCTAGCAGGCTGTGGAGTGGACACCAACAGAGTCAGGTGGGTGGCCAACTGGCTTAGGGACTGCACCCAGAGAGTGGTGATGGACAGGTCATTCTTGGCCTGAAAGAAGGTGGGCAGTGGGGTCCTGCAGGGTTCGGTCCTTGGACCGGTGTTATTTAATATCTTCATCAGCGATTTGGATGAGGGTGTGGAGAGCACCCTCTCCAAGTTCACAGATGATCCCAAGTTATGGGGCAAAGTTAACACATCGGTGGGCAGGGAGCAGATACAGGCCGACCTGGACAGGTTGGATCAATGGGCGGAACGAAATAGGATGCAATTCAACAAAGATAAATGTAAGGTACTCCACCTACGAAGGAGGAATCCCCAGCACACCTATAGGTTGGGGGAGGACCTCCTCAGCAGCTCAGTGGCTGAGAGGGATCTTGGAGTCATAGTTGACTCCAAGATGAACATAAGCCAGCAATGTAACAAGGCCATCAACAAGGCAAATCGCACCTTGTCATGTATTAGCAGATGCATGACCAACAGATCCAGGGAGATGATGTTCCCCCTCTATGTGGCATTAGTCAGGCTGCAGTTGGAGTACTCTGTCCAGTTTTGGGTGCTGCACTTCAGGAGGGACATGGAGAATCTAGAGAGGGTTCAGAGGGACACTCGCATAATTAGTGGCCTCTGGGAAAGACCCTACAAGGGGAGGTTGAGAGATCTGAATCTCTTCAGCCTTCACAAGAGATGTCTGAGGGGAGACCTTTTAGCCACCTGTAAGTTTATCAAGGGAGGACAACAGGGAATTGGAGATGCGCTATTTACCAGAGCGCCCCTAGGAGGAACTAGGAATAATGGGTGCAAACTAGTGGAGAGTAGATTTAGGTTAGACATTAGGAAGACATTTTTTACAATAAGGGTGGCTAGAATCTGGAATGGGCTTCCAAGAGAGGTAGTACTATCACCTAACTTGGAGGTCTTCAAGAGGAGGCTTGATAGTCACCTGGCTGGGGTCATCTGACCTTGGTCCTCTTTCCTGCCAGGGGCAGGGGGTCGGGCACAATGATCCTTTGTGGTCCCTTCAAACTCAACAATCTATGAATTACCAAGGCCTTTATTTCACACTAGATCTTTCTTGCTGACAGAAATTAAATCCTTGCAAACTCCAAATCTTAAATGTTTTTCCTTTATGGTTGATGACAGATACCAGTAAGCATCTGAGGGCTGAGGCACTAGATTAGGGTCAGTTAAATTCCACACTTCCCATGTTCTTTGTGTAGATGTGATATCTCTTATTAGACCAACTGAGTAGTTGGAAAAAAGGTCTTAGCAAGCTTTTGGGTGCAATCACCCTTCTTCAGGCTTCGGGAGTCTCTGATGTTCTGAGACTCCAAGGAATGAAAGAAGCTAAAAGTGTGACAGGATGTCAGTGAGAATGTAGATAGGTAGAAATTAAGAAAACAAAAGGTAGAGCAGGGAAGGCGGGGAAGTGTTGGGGAAGAAAGCCAAAGGTAAGGGAGGCTCTATAGTAGTACTAATTCAAGGTAGAAAAGAGGCTGTCTGTGAAAAAGGAAGTAGCTGTAAATTAGGAAGACAAAGTGCACTAGTGTAATAGATATATAACTATTAGTAATAAAACCATTGTTCTCATTCACCTTTATAGACCTATTTCTGTCTGTATGTCTCTAGGGCAGGCTCACTACACCTGCTAAGGATGAGTGGGTGCTACACTGTCTATGTCATCTAAGCAATAGAACAGGGACTCTGTTTCCTGCCCCCCACTTCCCCCCCAACAAGCATCTTGACATTGGCAGAGGCTGCTGTGCCCAGAGCTGGGGCAAGGGGAGGAAATGGAGGTCCTCTGCCTCTTGGGCCCAGCCGGCTCCTCCCAACACCCCAGCAGGGGTAGCCAGGCTGGGCCTGCATGGTGAGGGAGCTCTGTTCCTTCCTTCACCTGAGGCTCTTGACAGTAGCAGCCATGGCTGCCTTGTCCAGAGCTGGGGTGGGGAGGGGAGGGAAATGGAGCTCTGTTGCCCCATGGGCCCAGGTTGGCTACCTCTGCTGGGGTTTTGCAGGGAGCCAGACTGGGCCTGTGAGGTGTGGGGACTCTGCCCCCACTCCTCCAGCTCTGGGCATGGCAACCTCTGCCACTATCAAGGGGTGGTGGGGAAATACCTTGTGGGCTTGGCTCAGCTTCCCCCAGGATCTCAGCAGGGGTTGCAGGGCTGGGCCAGCAGGTAGGGTTCTGTCCTTCCCCCTACCCCTTTCCCCCCAGTGGTTAGCTGGCAGGGGGTGGGGGGCAGGGCTGGGGAAAGGGGCAGTCTGGCAGCCTCCTGGAAGGCTGCTGGAGCACCTCCACCTGCTGGCCACGGTTGGTGTAGGCAGGCTCTAAGCCCCCACCACAGACAAACACTTGTTGGGTTCAATGGTATTCTAACTTGAAGCAGAAAGGGATCTCAGTGTCATAGTGGACTCCAAGATGAACATGAGTCATCAGTGTGATGAAATCATCAGCAAATCTAACTACACTTTATCATGCATCAGCAGATGCATGACAAATAGAACCAAGGAGGTGATACTTCCCCTCTATGCAGCATTGGTCAGACTGCAGTTGGAGTACTGTGTCCAGTTTTGGGCACCACACTTCAAGAAGGATGTTGATAGAGGGTCCAGAGGAGGGCCACTCATATGGTTAGGGGCTTACAGGACAAGCCCTATGAGGAGAGACTAAAGGACCTGGACCTCTTCAGCCTCCGAAAGAGAAGGCTGAGAGGTGATTTTGTGGCTGCCTACAAATTAATTAGGGGGACACAGCAAGGGATCGGAGATGCTCTCTTCACCAGGGCGCCTCTTGGGGTAACAAGGAGCAATGGTCACAAACTGACAGAGAGCAGATTTAGGCTAGATATCAGGAAAAACTTCTTCATGGTAAGGGTGGCCAAAATTTGGAATAGGTTCCAAGGGAGGTGGTGCTCTCCCCTACTGTGGGAGCCTTTAAGAGAAGGCTGGATAGGCATCTGGCTGGGGTCATCTGACCCCAGCACTCTTTCCTGCCTAGACAGAGGGTCAGACTCAATGATTTGTTGAGGTCCCTTTCAACTCCAGCATCTATGAATCTATGAACTCAAGGTGCTTTACACAAGGTACCGTGAGTTAGTGCCTCCCCAACAGGCTGCCTGCACTTGTGTAAGCTCTCATAGTTAAATAATGCCACACACAGCTGTTGTTTTAAAGATGAATACTTCAGTCCATATTTACAGTCCTCTTCAATGGACATTTCACCCCTGGACTGCAAAATCTAATCCTTAATTTACACCTTCTATAATCCCACCATCTCCCAGCCATATACCTAGAAACGGGATGTCCATCTGGCGGCCCACAGGCCACATGTGGCCCCCAAGAGATTAACCTGCAGTCCCCAGGCTTCCAGCCTAGGCAGCACTTTCCTCACTGTGGCAGCTGTTGCTGCCAAGTCCTTGGGCTCCCCCTCATTCTTACAACTTTTGCTTCTTGTCCCATGCTTGAGTGTAGTGGTATGGTCTACAGGGTCAAGGAAGCCCACAGATAGGAAGCTCAGGAGTACCTGGAAACCCCTGGTAATGCCAACATGGTGCAGCGAGGGGGCACAAGACCATAATGGCACAGTGTATGGAGTGCAGGGGTGCTGCCACAGTGCAGTGGGGAGCACCTGATACATGTAACAGTGTGGACTATTGTGCAGCATGTGTCTTGAGGAGCATGTGGCCCATGCAGTATGTGGTTGAGGGAACTATGGACCCTATCAATTAAGAAGTTGGATATCCCTGTTCTAGAATATTCATAGTGATTCTATACATCTTGTGGCCTCCTTCTCCCATGCAAGATTTTTCCTGAATGCTCATTTCATTTGGTTGGCTTTCCAGTTCTTACTAAACCCTACTCTTGCCTTTCCCCCCATCTTTTTTTCTTGTGCTGTAATAGGTTTTTGTGCTTCAATTTGTATATCTTTGCTAGGTCATTGGGTTTAATATAGATTGAAAGTTTTGTGCACTTGATATAAATGATAACTTTTCAGGACCAAGTAAGCAGGTGTAAAAAATCTCTCACTGAATATAGCAAAGTTGCTGAGAATGCTAATTTAGTACCTCTTGAAGGCTCAGATCATGTATTTCCTATGTATCTGTGTAGGACTTAACCTGTTGACACTCTGATTGGGCTAGGATTGGGAAACAACACTTTCACAGTCCATGAGATTGCTATTTGTAGAAAAGGAAGCTTTTCCAGTGCCTATGGTTTAATACTAATAATTGAGACTATTCCTGCATTTTTATCTAGGTGTTCTGACAGAGCCAATGAGTTCTCCAGTGCAAGAGGCAGATATGTCATCTTACACACAGTACAGCACTATGTCATTCCCTCCAGTTCAACCTCAGATTTCATCGCCACCTTATTACTCCAACCTAGGCTTCTATCCCCAACAGCCTGAAGAATGGTATTCCCCTGGAATGTATGAACTCAGGAGAATGCCCTCTGAGAACTTTTTCACAAGAGAGACAGAGCTTGTAGAGATACCTGCGGCCAAGAAGTCTAGACTTGGTACCTCCACAGGAAGAGTGAAAGGAGAAGAGCTCTGTGTTGTCTGTGGTGACAAAGCTTCTGGCTACCACTATAATGCTCTTACTTGTGAGGGATGCAAAGGTAGGACAAAATGTAAATCACTCCATTATAGAGTAAGATTTGAGGGGGGAGAGGAATGGAATACTTTGGAAGTTTTATTTTCTCTTTGTCAGAAATCTCACGCAACCCAATCTTGACTTAAAGAGGCCAGGTGATGATAAATTTACTGCTTCCTTGGTAAGGTGCTCTGCTGGTAATTGCGGTCACTATCAAATGATTATTATCAACCAATTTTTAGAGTACTTGTAACTGCAAACTATGAAAACTCCATGGGACAAAACCCATACCCATTTGGACCTAAGTCATACTAGCTGAGGCAGGTACAGATCCACATATAAGAAATGTTCCCTTGATCAAAGACAGTAAAAGGTGAATTATTTCAAATTAATGTACTATGTTTCTATAAATAAACCTTATATGAGATTAAATATATGCTAAGGAAAGTGATTTTGCTTGAGCTGGAAAGGATAGTCTAGGGCAGCAGTTCTGAACCTTCTTCAGTTGACGTACCCCTTGGTCTCAGAGTGAGACTTCATGTACCCCCTTTCAATGGGAAATTAATTTTTATGTCAAACTACGTGTAATCCCATGCACATGCGCATTTTATGGCAGTTTCAAATTGTCAAGACTTTTTTTAGGCCCTTTGACCTGTGTTAGACAGTGTATGAAATATATCTCACATACCCCCGATGAGGTTTCACATACACCCTGGGAGTACATGTACCCCCTGTTCAGAACCGCTGGTCTAAGGTATGTCTACACTGATAGCTAGGGTCAGGCTTATATCTGTTCCTGCCAACCATCAGTAAACCTCTTGGATTAATAACCCCTGGCAGCTCAGCCCAACCTCGGGAGCAATCCTGAACTCCCAGGTATGAAATCTTTTCCACTCCTGCTTGTCTGCTCATTTGCCATTTTCTTGAGTGAGTTCAGATTTTACCCCAGTAAGGAAGCTGTGAGCCCAAGAAGTCCACCAACAAAAATCCCACAATTCCATATTCCTCATTTGTGTCCTTCTGCACCTCACTTCTTTTCTCTACTGTCCATATATAGAGAAAAGCCTGGAAGTAAAGAGAAGTTGTCCACAGACTAATTTATTAAATCAGAAGTATGCCAAGGAGGACTTTGCTGTGTACTACAAGGACTGATATTGATGTGGAAGGGTGGCTCCGATGGTTCTAGCTTGTTGACGGCAATCTCAAGATTAATCTTAAATGTCAGCAAAGGCATATCCTTAGTGGTTTTAGCATTCTCCCTGCCTGGTGCCCTTCACCCTAGAGTTAGCTACATTTCAGTGATGCTGCAGGTGTGGTTTTTAGGGCTTTGGGTTCCTTCAGAATGAAAAGTTCTTTATAAAAGCAAGGTATCACTATCCTTATGGATCTCCTGTTCAAATAAATGTCATGAAACACCACCATGCATGACAGAGCTGATTAAGTACGTTTATGATATATGAATATAGGTGAGTACAATTATATTCCAAGACTAAAAACAGATATCAGACTGATTTGCTTGTAAGGACAGTAGCTTTTCCAGTTTCTCTTTAATTTTTTAGAAAAAAAATATTTTTAGTGGCTCACAAAGAATTATACTCTGGAGCTGCATGCTCCAGCATACATTTATAGTTTTGATTCTATAGTGCTGCCCCTGTATGGATAAATATGAATATTCTCTCTTTGCAAGAAATTAATGTTTCTACTTAACCCCTTTCAAAAATTACATACAATATTAAATGGAACACAGACTTTTTAGACACAGTACTCCATGTACTTATTCTACAGTCTTTTAAAAATATATATATTTTTAAATATGTATATTTAATCCCCAATTCTGCCGTTATAAAATATTTCTCATTCAACAGTGATGTTTTAATGATTCTCATAGAAAAAGACAGCTTACAAGTGTTGCTATAATACCTGGAACATTGTAATATTCTGTAAGCCTATTGCATTCATAGTCACTCTCGATATACCTAGTGCAATTAAGGATTATAAAACCCTTTGTGGAGTAGCTTTGGATATGTTTTGGGTTCTAACTGAAACTTAGTACACTTCTTGTGAATATACCAGAGGAAACTATAGGATGTTCTATAAATAAACCTTAGATTCATTAAAGATGTAGAATAACTGGGAGCATCTACATGTCGCCCTATGATGATATAATGATGAGTTACATCGCTGCATGGCATGCCACGGTGATGTAGCAATTATGTGGGTCTACACATGATTGGCAGTTATGTTGCATAGTGGCATGCGCCCCCATTTTACAGCATCACTACAGTGAAATCTAACCTTGCGCCACATACATGGCACAGTATGGGCAGTTACTGTGCCATGCTTTAGTACTTCCATTTGGAAGTACTAAAGCATGGCGCCAAAGCAATGTCACCATTCGGCAATGCGTAGATGCACCCAGAGTTGAATGTAAGTGGATTAAGTACTGTACAAAGTGTTCATACTGTTTTTTATTATCCGCAAACTATCCCTGAGATGATGGTTGTCAAACTGTGACTATATCTTATGAAAGTGATCCAGTGT